GCCGCCGCCCTCGCGCACCCGCGCAGCCGTCTCCCCAGTGCCCTCGCGACCCATGCGCCTCCTCGCCGCCCAGGCCATGGATCCGGCCATGCCGCGGCGGACGGGCGACGGATCCAGCCCCGCTGCACCGCCCAGGCGCCGGGGTCGAGCGTCGCCGTTCCCCACCGTTGTCCCGGCGACTGCCCCCAACCCCCTCCAACTCCCCTCGTCCTTGCCCCCCGAGCAGCAACATGGATCCGGCGGGCGGTGCACACCCTTACCTCCACCAGCCCGAGCGCCCCGCTGGCGTGCCTCCAGCACCGGCTCTGTGCGGCGCAGCAGTCCACTCCTCCCCACGCCGCCCACACCCTCCCATCTACCGGATCAGGTCGCGGCTCCCCTCGTGCTCGTATCTTCCTCCCCTCCGGTAGCTCCACTCCGGCCCCAGCGGAACCACTCCTCTAGCTCAATATCCATGGAGGTGAAGCCTCGATGGTGCTCACGTCTGTGAAAGCAGTGTGCTCAGGTGGAAACATATATTTTTGTTTCTGCTCACTGATGGTTCCCCGTGCAGTCCGACGACCACGGACGTGTAGCTCGCAGGCATGAGATGTGGTTCAGTGCTCCTGTGGGTGTAGTTCATGAGCGCGTCGGCGACGATGGCATCAACGCAGTGCACTCCGGTAGTTGCCATGGTGCACTCTGGTGGCCGTTGTGGTACAGCTCAGTGGCTGGCCAGGTGAGGTTTGCTTTTCCTCTGCTTGTGGTTAATCTAAGCACGAGCTTCATCACCTCGGTGCTTTTGTCGTGTAGCTTGGTGACGCGACAGGTGCAGTCAGCTGAGCAGACACTCTTCTCCAAGCGAGAAGAGGAGGGCGATCTTGGTTCCTGTCCACGTGCAGTTTCAGGGAGTAAATTGCACAGAAGTACCACAATTGGGGCATTAGAAGCAGATTGGTACCAAGATTGGTAATTTTTACGTGTCCGTACCAAGTCTGGGGCAAGCCGTTACAAAAAGGTCTAAACAGCGTATAAACGTGTATTGACGGTGTATCTGACCGGTAGGGTTCAGTGAGGTAGGGTGCGGGCACGGGAGGCGCACAGGAGGCCGAATCTGGCGAGGTAGGGTGCGGGCACGGGAGGCGCACAGGAGGCCGGCTCCGGCGAGGTAGGGCGCGGGCACGGGAGGCGCAGAGGAGGCCGGATCCGGCGAGGTAGGGCGCGGGCACGGGAGGCGCAGAGGAGGCCGGATCCGGCGAGGTAGGGCGCAGGAACGGGAGGCGCAGAGGAGGCCGGATCCGGCGAAGTAGGGCGCTGGGGCGTTGCGGTCAAAGGGGAGGAGGCGGCGCGATGCAGGGGCTCCGGCGTCGAGGAACAAAGGGGATGGACGGATCTGAGGCTCTCCAGCACGGATTGGCCGGGAACCAAGGCGGCGCGTCGGGTTGGAGCTACGGGAGGCCATCCATGGCGGCTTGACGTCGGGCTCCTGTCCAATGGGCAAGAGAGAGAGAGAGCTCCGGGTGAGAGAGAGAGAAGAGAAAATGGAAGAAAGAAGAAAAGGAGAGAGGCAGGGTGCGGGGAAAAGAAGGAGAGAGGCAGGGTGCGGGGATGGCCTGGTCCTGGTCGCTGGTGGTGATGCTCGAACGGCCGGCCGGCGGCGAGGCGAGGAGGAGGCTAGGGCGGGGCGAGGGTTATGGGAAGCGAAGGAGCTTGGGATCGAGGGGCTCCTCCCTCGATCCAGATCGTGCGCCACCGCGGTGGAGACGACGAACAACAGCGCCAGCGAAACAGGGGGGTTTCTGCGAAAAACATGCCACGTCGGCACCCGACAGGCGGGGTGCGCCGGTCAGATACACCGTCAATACGTGTTTATACGCTGTTTAGACCTTTTTGTAACGGCTTGCCCCAGACTTGGTGCTGACACGTAAAAATTACCAATCTTGGTACCAATCTGCTTGTAATGGCCCAATTGTGGTACTTCTGTGCAATTTACTCAGTTTCAGGCGATGCGCCCATGCGGTGTGGAGCACATGTGCATGTAGTCCATCGGCCATGCATGTAGTATAGGTCGCATAGTGGTGTAATTCATCGCTGAACCTGTGTTGTAGTTTTAGGTCGCATAGTGGCGTGTGTGATGCAGTTTTGCGTCTCCTCTCGGGTGGACACATAGCTGCACCCCAGATCGCCCAGTACTGCAACCCCTTCCTTCCTTTACTTATTTTTTGCAGGAAAGAAAGTGGTGCATTTCGGTTGGATGTCCCGTTGGAGTTTGACCTTGTGTCATTTCAGATTATACTGTGTAGTGCGACATGAGTTTCTCTGCTTGGGGTGCTCTGGTACAGTATGTACTTGTACGGCTGTGTAAAAAATTATGAATTTGTGTGTTGAGCATTCTGAAGCACTGATGTTATTTTTTTACTTCGAGAAAACATGACGTGGTCCATTATGTGGTGGTTGGTAGTTTACTTTGTCAGAAGGGAGAAAAAGAAATTCACGTGAGAGGTTCACTTCTTTTTTGAAAGAAGATTGTTTTTGTGGGACGATCGAAAAATATGGATTTGAGGTTCACTAGCAAAAATTAACGTGGTTCACTTCTGAGAGTGTTACAGTGCATTTTCAATAGTGGTGTGTTTCACTTGCACCCGAGATGAAGATTGTTATTGTGGGACGATCGAAAAATATGGATTTGAGGTTTACTAGCAAAAATTAGTGTGATTCACTTCTAAGAGTGATACAGTGCATTTTCAGTAGTGGTGTGGTTCACTTGCACCCGGGATGAAGCGCAAAAAACTAAATCATTAGGGAAACGACAAAAATAGTAATGCGGTTCACTTTGATATATGTCGAGGTTCACTTGCCCTCGTCTTTGCGGTGCACTCTTGTTCATAAAAAAAGTTTAAAAAAACACAACAAAAACTCATATGAGAAAAATAACGTGCGACAAAAGAAATTATGCAGCTCGCTTGCAAGTACGATGCAGTGCGGTTTTCATTTTGAAATAGTGCGGTCGGCCATATGATGTTGTTTATCTCGTAAGTGCAACAAAATTGTTAGGGAAGCGAAGAAAAGTAATGCGGTTCACTTCTTGGTAGTGTTGAGGTTCATTTACACCAGATGTGAAGTGCACTCTACTTTCTCGTCCTTGAAAAATTTACGCCTGAATAAAAGAAACCAAGCAGTTCTCTTACCCGTCTGATGCAGTACGGATTTTCGTCTAAAGCAGTGCGGTTTTCAGTCGGATGAAGTACCCACGTCGATTTAGGTGTCGCGAAAAACAGAGTGTCCGCATTTCGGTAAAATCGAAATTCCACTTAAACCGTAAAGAATTAGAGAGAGTGTTCTACATGAAAAAGTTGCGTCTCGTCGATATCTTTCCAATGGCGTATTGTTTGAATCATTCCGACCAGCGGTTTGTAAAAATTTCGTGAAAAACAGCCGCTGCCTCTCGTCATCAGCCGCCCAATTTTCAAAATTAACTAAAAACCGTAAAGAATCTCAAAACCATTTCTACATATGAAAGTTGCGCCTTTTCCATAGTTTTCCAATGAAATATTACACGCCTCATTTCTATAAACGGTTAAAAAACTAGAGCGAAAACCGTACCGAAAATTTGAATTTTTTTGAAAAACAGAATTCCGCGATTTAGTAAATTTGAAACTGTTCTTAAACCGTAACGAATTAGAGAAAGAAATAGATATGAAAAAGATGCGCCTCGACGATATGTATCCAACGGTGTATCATTTGCTTCATTCCAACGAGCGGTTTAGAAAAAATGCGAAAAAACGCTCGCTACCACTTGTTGTGGGTCGCACCATTTTCAAAACTGCTCTTAAACCATGAGGAATCTCGAAAAGTGTTCAACATGGCAAAGGTGCGCCTAATCCATAGCTTTCCAACGGTATATCATACACCTCATTCCAATAAACGGTTAAAAACTAGAGCAAAAACAGTACCGAAAAAACATTGCGTACAGTTTTTTACGACACGAAGTTCACTAGTCTGTGTAATGCAGTGCTCTAGCTAAAGAAAGTGCAGTGCCCTCGCGTTGAGCATGCAGTGCGGAAGTGTTATCAGAATATATATATATAGTGTTACTATTCATCACCCAGGGTGCAGAATAAGTTATTCTTCACCTGAGGTAATCTTACCATTATTTCGTAATTAAATTATGTTTCGAATTCAAATAGTTACATTCCTATTGATTCACTACGTAAAATTTGACATAAAAAAAATAAAAATATAGGTCATAAGACAAGAAAATTTACAGTTTATGTGTATTTTAGACTATGTTTTTATGTTTGTAATTTTACATAACATAAAATATTTTTTACGGCGATTATATATTTTCTTACGGTCTCTTTTCGCGTCGGAAATAAGACAAAACTTATAGAACATAAAATTACGATGCATTGATGATAAAATAGAGAGGGGGGGGTGAAGAATAACTATTCCTCACCCAGGGTGACGAATAGCGCGGCCCTATATATATATACATAGAGAAAGAGAGAGAAATACATCCTATCACCTGGGGTAGTTACCCCACATGACTCATATAGTACCATGTGGTAGTATATATATTCTACTTTATCATTTTAAGTATGTTCATATACTATATATAAGACACTCCAAAGTGAGTTACATGAAATAATTGCAAGTTGTCCCATGATTTTTATTATGGACTGTGCCAATGTCGGATCGACCGGAATATAGCAACAGATACGGACGCCTTAAACTTGCATGCATGCAGATATCCCACTGTAGCTTCGTGCATGTTCACAAGTAGGTAGTAAAAGTAGAAGCACCTAATTACATACATATAGAGAAACACAACAATGCATGTAGTAAAAACAAAATAGCTGATGTCAGCAAAGATTCCATCTAAAATTATAATTCAAAATGTTTTGTAGCTCAAACCGTCGCTCCGATTGAAAAATTGTTTTCAGATAAAAGATTCGTCGTGATGAGACTGTCGGTGCAACAGAACTTGGGTCCATTGCCCGGACTATGCACAGGCACAAGAACAGAATTGAAGCATCAACTAGAGTCAGAGATTGAAGGACCAAGAGATTTGAAGAACCAACATGCAGCTCAGAGGGGATCAAGATCAAGCCAGAGGAGTAGTATATCGGCAAGAGGAGGGCCTCCCTTGCCGGGAAGGCGAGCCTGGCAAGGGGCAAGGCCACCACCAGAGGCAAGCAACCAAGGCACCCTAGCAGGGCCTGCCGGGGCTCGCGGAGGCAAAACCACCCCACCAACCACTCGAGCACGACCCATGTCACCAATCAGTATGGTGTCAAGCCGCAAGGTGACCAAGTGGCAGCCATTCACCACATGGCGGCCATTTCCTATAGAATGAACATACAGATGACACCCGTCCTACGACGTGTCAATATAACAAGTGCGGAGTTGGAGAGGTAGCCCGACAAGCCTTGTGGGGCAACTAGTGATGTGACACTAAGCGGTGCATTTAATGCACCCTGTCAGCTCGCAGAGTTAGGTAAGATAGCACTATTTGCTATCGTATCAGTGGATAATGACCACTTTGCCATTGTGGTGACCCCTTAATCTATAAAAGGAGGCCCATGGCACCCGTAGGAGGGGTTGGAAAAGTTGAGGAACCCGCACCCTATACGCGCGTAGTCGCTACTACCATACGGCGACCCTGATACGTCCATCTTGCATCATGTTTTCCTACTGTTATTTATAGTGTTTTTATCCAAAATAATTCTTTTTCGAGTAATTCTAATGCCTTTTCTCTCATAATTTACAAGGAACACACCAAGAGGGGGAATTCCGGCAGCTGGAAATCTGGACCTCAAAAAGCCACGTCAGGCTACCTATTCTACACAACTCCAAATAAGCTAAAACTTCACGGAGATTTTTATGGAATAATTAAGAAATACTGGAGCCAATAACCACCAGAGGAGGGCCACCAGGTGGGCACAACCCACCTTGGCATGCCAGGCGCGCCCTGGTGGGTTGTGGCCGCCTCGGCCCACCTCCAGTGCCCATCTTCTAGTATATAAGTGATTTTGCCCTAGAAAAAATAAGGAGAAGGCTTTCGGGATGGAGGACCGCCGTCTCAAGGCGGAACTTGGGCAGGAGCACTTTTGTGCTCCGGCGGAGCGATTCCGCCGGGGAACTTCCCTCCCGGAGGGGGAACTCATCATCATCATCACCAACAACTCTCCCATCTTGGGGAGGGAATCTCCATCAACATATTCAATGACACCATCTCCTCTCAAACCCTAGTTCATCTCTTGTGTTCAATCTTGTTACCAGAACTATAGATTGGTAATTGTGGGTGACTAGTATTGTTGATTACATCTTGTAGTTGATTACTATATGGTTTATTTGGTGGAAGATTATATGTTCAGATCCATTATGCTATTTAATACCCCTCTAATCTTGAGCATGATTATTATTTGTGAGTAGTTACCTTTGTTCTTGAGGTCACGGGAGAAATTATGTTGCAAGTAATCATGTGAACTTGATATGTGCTCGATATTTTGATAGTATGTATGTGGTTATTCCCTTAGTAGTGTCATGTGAACGTCAACTACATGACACTTCACCATATTTGGGCCTAAGGGAATGCATTGTGGAGTTGCAATTAGATTGTGGGTTGCGTGAGTGACAGATGCTTAAACCCTAGTTTATGCGATATTCCGTAAGGGACCGATTGGATCCAAAAGTTTAATACTATGGTTAGAATTTATTCTTAATACTTTTCTCATAGTTGCAGATGCTTGCGGGAGGGTTAATCATAAGTAGGAGGTTTGTTCAAGTAAGAACAACACCTAAGCACCGGTCCACCCACATATCAAATTATCAAAGTAGCGAACAAATCGAACCAACTTGATGAAAGTGACTAGATGAAATTCCCGTGTACCCTCAAGAACGCTTTGCTTATCATAAGAGACCGTTTTGGCATGTCCTTTTCCTCAAAAGGATTGAGCTACCTTGCTGCACTTTTGTGACTACTCTCGTTACTTGCTCGTTACAAATTATCTTGCTATCAAACTATTCAACTACTTACAATTTCAAAACTTGTAGACATTACCTTACTGAAAACTACTTGTCATTTCCTTCTGCTCCTTGTTGGGTTCGACACTCTTACTTATCAAAAAGATCTAGAATTGATCCCCTATACTTGTGGGTCATCAAGGCTATTTTTTGGCACTGTTACCAGGGAGTGAAGCGCCTTTGGTATGTGGAATTTGGTAAGGAAACATTTATATGGTGTACTGAAATTTATTGTCACTTGTTACTATGGAAAACAATACTTTGAGTGGTTTGTTTCGGGTATCTTC